CTTGGCTCTTCCTTTGACACATGGGGACAAAGACCTGGAGAGGTAAGTTAAATGTCCATGGTTACACAGTGATGAAGCCAAGACCAGGCATTGGGACAATGGTTGAGACCTGGGTGTGCAGATTTTTCTGCTTCGAGTCTGACTTGACCTGCAGTTCTGTCGTCAGATATTATACCTAGTACTCTCCCGTCACTCACAGGTTCCTAACTCACTCCTCTGTGTCTGAGCAACCTGGACACACCTTGCCCTCTGGCCTCCTTACTGTCTTTGCTATTAACCTTATACGCTGCCTCCCTTTCTCTAACTTTTCAGACCCTACAAGGCTCAGGCCATAGCAGCCTCCTTGGTCTTTCTCAACCATGCCAAATGCCTGCCCTGGATGCTCTTTCCTCATGTACCCATGTGACCTCTCCTTCTCCTCTCAGGTCTATGCTTAGATGTTACTTCCTCTGGGAGGACTTTCTGAATATCATGTTAAGTTCTTTAGTTCTTTTGTTTTTTTTAAGAGAGAGAGAGAGAGAGTTTTATTAATATTTATTTTTTTTTTTAGTTTTCGTCGGACACAACATCTTTGTTTGTATGTGGTGCTGAGGATCGAACCCGGGCCGCACGCATGCCAGGCGAGCACACTACCGCTTGAGCCACATCCCCAGCCCATGTTAAGTTCTTTCTTCCTTAATTTTTTAAGATAAACTAAATGCATACTATAGATTTTCTTAAATCTTATATGTAATATGTATGCTGAATAGTGCATGAAGCCTCAAGTCCTCCTCAAGCTGTTGCAGCTGAAGTTCCCACACTGAGTTGTGGCTAACACGGACATCCTCATTGCTTGACCTTGCCTAATGGTTTTAGGACTAAATGATTGAGAAAGGAGACAACAGGGAGGGGAAGAAGGAGACACTCTCGTACCACTTTGAGACTTCATTCTCAGTCCTGAGCAAGTTCTACAGTGGAGCACAATGTAGGCTTTTCCCTTTCAGAGAACACTGATTTTCTAACTCAAGTAGCTGGTTGCTTGCTACTCCTAAACAAGTGGGAATTTCCCAGCCAGCCCCTGACCCAGAAATCTGATAAACAAACTGGATGCATGGCTGTAATCCCAGCCCTCAGCCATTCAGGAGGCTGAGACAGGAGGACTTTGAGTTCAAACCCAGACTCAACAACTTAGTGAGGTTCTAAGAAACTTAGCAAGACCCTGACTCAAGATAAAAATGGCTGGGGTTATTATGACTAAGTGGTTAAGCAGCCCTAGGTTCAATCACTGGTACAGGGGGAAAAAATCTGATAAACAGGTTCCTCAGCTTCTTGTAGGATGATACTTGAAACAATAGAATCTCAAAAGGATTATCTATAACCAGTTATAGACTGCTTTTTCTATAACTCCAACATTTAAAAAAATAGTTGGAGTTGTTCTGCATGATTTCATTAGCATAGTTTCTTTAGAGGGAATCTGAACCTTGATTTAGTGATGTTTTGTCTTTCTCTCGACTTCAGCAGTTTACCATTCAAGCTCATGAACTTGCCAAGTGACATTAGGTTATATTGGGTCATGTACCTTCTTTCTTCAGTCTTATTTCTTCTTCAGCAAAGATTGATCTCATGATCTCTAATGTCCTAGATAGATCTGCCATTTTGTGATTTCATAAAAGCTCCTTCTTAAAGAAGGATTAAGATATTAGTCATTCACCCTGATGACCTGTGAATCCAGGGCTTGAAACTAGATAGAGACTGAGAGGTGAAGGGGTTTTGAAGATCCTTATTCCCTGAGTGGGTAAAAAAATTAAGGTAACAGGGCTTTTGTTAGCCGATTGAAAACAAATAAATGAGAACCTTTTACTGGGTACTAACATAGGACACTTGATATAGTTGTCATGCACATGTTATTTCATTCCATCTTTACATTAAAGCAGTGTATCCAAGTATATAACCACAGGCTGTGAAGTAAAACAGACCTGAGTTTAAGTTCTGAGTTCAAGCCCTGACTTTGTCATAAACTTGCTCTGTGATTTTGGGCAAATCACCATAAACCTTCCAGTCTCAAGTTTATTCATCTGGAAAGATTTGGATTTGCTCCACAAGTTTTTTGAGAGGATTAAATGAAATAATGTTTGTGAAGGGGTCTATACAGTGTAACACACAAGGTAACTATTTAACAATGGCAGCCACCTGCATAGCAGAGATGCTTAATTCCTAAACATAAACTCAGAATCAGTTTCTAAACCCATGTCCATTTTATGCCATATCTCCTTTTGCTAAATAGTGTTGCCTCAAAATACTTACTATACAGTTTTCTCTGCTAATTAACAAAGGAGGGCTGAAGGTTCCCAGTTTTCATAGAAATTTCTGTATGTCCCTATCCATTTTTAGAGTTCCTTTTCTTCCTCATCAATGCCATCACTTTAATATACAACACACAATAAAGTTGGAAATTCAAATTTTTTAAAAAATATTTTTAGTTGTTTTTGGACCTTTATTTTACTCATTTATTTTACACTCAGTGCTGAGAATTGAACCCAGTGCCTCACACATGTGAGGCAAGCGCTCTACCACTGAGCCACAACCTCAGCCCATGGAATTCAAATTTTATTATGTACAATTTAACTTTAAGGTAGATTTCAAAAATCTTGACCTTCCAAGTGTAGGTATATTTTAGGGAAGTCATAGAGGCTTTGCAGTCCCTTAATTAGACACTGAACTAGGAATTTAAACTCATGAGCTCATTATTTTCTTTGCTCAAGTTCCTCAACACTTAGAAACAGTCAACGAAGCCCGTTATACTCCTTATTTCCCCTAAAATGTTCTCTGTAGCAGAAACTTGTTCCTCCAAAGCCTTGCTTTGTATAGGCACTTATTACAGGTATCTGGAGGTACTCTTCAGCTGTTTCGTTGCTGCAGATCATGGAACCCCAATATCTCCTTAATTATTAGAAATAAAGTCATTATTAAATCCACTCATATCAAAGAACCAATTGCAGACAGCACAGGGCCAATACAGAGAATCTTTTCTTAAGGTTCTGACCTCTGGAACCACTTTCAGTGCCAAATTCTTTAATTAGTATTCCATCAGAGGAGTGAGGATTTGACCCCAGGCAACTGTGGAAGCTCCTTACATAGTCCATATGAGGCCACTGTTTTTGTCGGGGGTTGGGAAGAAAAGATGAATATACAAGCAGGGAGAACAGACTGGCTTCTTTGTCATCTTCTCACCTATGTCCCAACTTGGAGGTGGGACTGTCAAATAACTGAGGCTGGTACCCTTCATTATGGAGTTAAACACAAACCAGGTCCAAAATCTGGAGAAACAGAAGGAGCATCAGACGGGCGTTGCAGGTGCTGCAAACCCAGCTGCAGCCTCAGGGCAACCATAGAATATGACGATCTAAGTAAACTCAAGAGTGTTTTGTGGATTGCTCCATATGCCCAAGTTTAAAAAGATGGCTGTGTGTTCCACTTCTACCTTCTAAGTCACACACAAAACAACCTGTGTAGCCATGTTAACCAGGAACTATGCAGATTAAAGAAGAAATCTCACTGAAGTACTTGGAACCAAATAACAATGAAAACACAATGCTATCAAAATTTGTGGGCAACAGCTACAGATGTACTTAGAGGGAATTTTTTAGTTTTAAATGATATAAAGGATGGCTGACTGGCTGGATAAATAAATAAATGGTCTGAACCTCCATCTTAAGAAGCTAAGAAGATAAAAAGCGCAACTTGAACACGAAGGAAGTAGAAAAAAAAAGATAGGAATAGAAATCAAAGAAATTAAATATAATATAGAAAAATCATAAAGCACAATATTGGTGTCTTGGTCTGTTTGTGCTGCTGTAATAAAATACCTGAAATTGATTAACTTATAAACAAACAACAGAAACCTCCTGCAGTTCATGAGATTGGGAAGACTAACTAAGGGTCCCTGCTTCCAAAATGGTGCCTTAAATGCTTCATTCTTGGAGAGGCCAAATGCTATGTCCTCACATGGAAGAAAGGATGGAAAAGGAAAGGGGATACTTACCTAAAGTTTTTTTTTTTTTTAATAATCTCATATCATTCACAAGGGTGGAGGCCTCATGTCCTAAATCACTTCTTAAAAACCCCACTTAAGTTTCACATTTTCATTTTTGGGAAAAACTTTCAGACCTTGGCAGTTGGTTAAAAAAAAAATTGATATTCTTTCAGTCTGATCATGTAAGAGAGAAAGCACAATTCATTAATATAAGGAATTAAAAAGGAAATATCACTACAGATCCTACAAGCATTAAAATAGGGAATGTTCAACACAATTTATTACAATTCGATGAAAAACGTGTATCAAAACTAATAAAGAAATGAAAATATGGAGAATCTTTAGCTATTAGAAAACTTGACTTCATTATCAAAAACCTTCCCACAAAGAAAACTCTGGGTTTACTTTGGGGCTGGCAAAGATTTCCCAGATGGGACAAAAGCACAATAAGTATGATGATGAAAATTAATAAATTGGTTTTAAAAAAATTGATCATTTTTTCTTATCAAAAGACATCATCAAGGAAATGAAAAGGTAAACCAGATTGGATGAAATTATTAAGGATTTGTAATAAATGTATCTAACAAAGAAATTGTGACAATATCTAAGGAATTCTTATAAGCCAATTAGGGAAAGAAAAACCACATAATTTTTTAAATGGCCAAAAGAGTCGAACAGGTACATTGTAAAAGATGAAACATGAGAAAAGTTGCTTAAAATCATTAGTCACAAGAAAATGCAAATTTGACGATAATGGGACACTAGTTCATACCTACTAGAAGGGCTTAAAAACAAAGACTGACAAATTGTTGGTGAAAATATGGAGAAAATGAAATTCTAGTCATCAGTAGTGAGAATGTAAAATGGCACAACCACTTGGGAAAAGTTTAATAGTTTTTTAAAATAAAATTAAACATACATCTACCTTGTGACTCCAGAATTTTCATGCTTACCAGAAAGAAATGAAAAGACAGATTCATACAATGACTTGCACACAAATGCTTATAGCAGCTTTATTCATAACTCCAGATTGGAAATAACAAACATCCATCAACAGATAACCACACAATGGAATACTATTCAGTAATAAAAAGGCACAAACTACAGATATATACAACACCATGATTCTCAAAACATGGTAAACTAAAGAAACTAAATATAAGAGTACACACAGTTTTAATCAATTTAAATGAAACTCTAAATAAAACAGGAAAAATTAACTTCCAGTGATAGTAAGCAGATCAGTGGCTACCTAGGACTGGGGTGAGATTGATAGCAGAGGGAAATGAAGCCTTTTCTGATGAAGAAAGTCTTCTCTATCTTGATTGAGGTTGACATTAGAGTATAAATTTGTTCAAGCTAGTTGAATGGCACTGTTAAAATGAGTACACTTAATTGTATGTAAATTACACCGCCATTAAGTTGACCAAAAAGAAGAACTATCTTGACGAATATCAGACAGAAATCAGTATAGTAGCTGTCTTAATATTTGAATGTGCACGGTTTCTAGTTTTTTGTTTGGTAGCACATGTCAGGAGGCCAAGTTTTCATCTAAACATATGGCTGAATAAAATTATCACCTTAAAATGGAGGAAAATGTAACAAACGATGTTAAAAGTAAGAGCGAGCTTGTGGTACAAAGACTTTGAAGTCAAGTGACTAACTTCTGATACTGTTATGCTATTTTGTGACTAAGTATGGTTGAGTAATGAAAAGATGTCAAGGTACTTAGAAAAATATGTCAAGTCCCCAAGTCTTTTAGGGGATTAAATCAAAATATTAAATCTCTTACCAAATGTTTAAGAAATATAACTAGTATGTAAATGGTAGTGAATGTTTAGAATTTGAAGGTTAAATTATGAGTTAATCATGAAATGAGAATGCCATTTTTTAAAAAATATTTTTACTGAACTTACAATTTAATAAGATCTTCAAGTTGATCAAGATTTAAGGGGAAAAAATGTATGTATATTTTTGGCTGCACTGAGAATCAAACTCAGGACCTCATGTATGCTAGGAAAGCACTGAACTATACCCCAGCCCCAGAAAAAACTAAATTTTGCATGTATTTTTCTTTCCATACTGCCTTGACTGTAAAGCTGACATGTGATTTACATGCTTCCTTTCTTTCTTAAGAAATGTTTGCTTCTATTTTATCTCCACATCTTCTACACTAGCATTATGGTTTGAAGTAATGTGTTTTTAAAGTGAAATTACCTAGCATCAATAATCTAGATATTTTACCTCTTACAATTTCAATTTACAGTAGATACTGTATCAATTTTAACTTTACTCGTATGATTTTCTGAGACTCTTCTTTACTTCACCCTCCAATGTGCATCTATCTAGGCATTTTCCCCCTGCAATTTCTATTGAGAGCCTATCTGAGTTATAACAATAATCTGTACTTAGAAGGAAAAGCAATTAGCACAATTTACACATAGAGTAACCCGAGTGCCTCTAACTTAATCTCATTAGGTAGGCAGTGTTTTAATCCAACTCAGATGGAGAAATCAAGATCATGCAGTCCAGAAGTGGGAGGGCCAGGACTTACGCATTCCCATTTGAATCCAAAATTCTTAGCAATAGTAACTCTGAGATGAAGTTCAATCATCCTCCTAGGTTTGCACTTTCTTGACATGATCAAACAGAATCTCGAAGGATTCTTTTGTATCCAGAGCATCGTGCCTACAGCTGGGTATGCAGGTTCATTTGACCTCCGAATCAGTACTTGTATTACTGATTCACATGTGGTCAGAATCTGGGGTACTGGTGGGTTTTGCCTGCTTCCAGGAGAAGGCTATTACTTTCAAGGGAAACAAAGGAGCCTTCCTTTGATACAGGGACTGTCATTGACCCTGTCATTGACCCTGCTTGCTTTACGCTGTCCCTTTTGGCTCCCCCAGGGTAATTAACAATTGTCAGCTAATGAATAAATGAGAAACAATTTGTTGGGTAAAAAAGGAACATCAGAACAGATTAAATATTTGCATTGAGTACAGTGCTTAGCACATTTATGTGCCTCAAAGGGAACAACATTTTCACTTTTCATCAATAGATACAGCAAAGTATTCCTCGACTCTTAGGCATTTTGTGAGAATGGTTTAATGCAAAGATGACTCAGATAGTCTCTACTTTCAAGTAATGTGTGGCCCCAAATAAGGTGCATGTGATAATAAAAGGTGATAGGAAACAGAAAGTGCTGAAATAAGACTGCTAGTCAAGTGTTTTGGGTTTGAAGATAGGAAAGACAAGAAAAGAAACTTCTTTCCCCTTGCCTTAAGCATTTCTTGCTGCTTTAACAAAATAACTTAGACTAGGTCATTTATAATTAGAAATTTATTTCACAGTTCTAGAGGCTGAGAAGTCCAAGATTAAGGTGCTGGGGTCAGCATCTGGCCGGGTTGTGGTGTTGCCATGATGGTGCTTTGTTGCTGCATCCTCCAGCAGGGGACAAATATCATGTCCTCACATCATTTGAGCAAAAGGGATGAAGAGTTCCCTTACACCTCTTTTAAAAGGTCAGTAATCCCACTCATGAAGGCAAGACCTTATCTCCTAAAGGCCCTACCTCTTAATAGCATCATATTGGTGAGTAAGTATGAATTTTAGGGGACTTGTTCAGATCCGTAGCACTCCTCAAGCTGGTTCATGTCTATGGATACCTTTTTTCATGCTCTCTCTGGCAATCTCATGATTTCAAACTTTTCTACCTGGGTTAACCCCAAATCTCTCTCCTGAGTTTCTCCCAGACATCTTCTAAAACTAACCTACTTGTATGAATCAAAAGCTGAACTCACAATTCTCTCCCCACTCTGTCCCTTCTAGAAGATTGGAGGAAAAAGAAACATGAGAGAAGGGATAACAAGTAGGAGATTCACAGCATTTGACCTTACCAGGGAGGAAGATGAAGACTCAGAAAATGTCTCCAGGCTTTTAAAATGTATTCTCACATCTCCAACCACTTTCCAGTTTCTCCCATAAAAGAAGAAAATGTAACCTTGCTTTTCCCTTTCTGTCCTATAACTAGAAAAGGTTTCAAAGTCAAGGAAAAAAGGGCTTTCACTTGCTGTTCTTACAGAGAAGAATTCAGATACAACATTCTCTCAATTCCTCTAATAGAGAATAGGAGAATGTGGCAGAGTGCATAAAAGTTAGAACTCCTCTTGCCATAAATGATGTCCTTTCCTATCTACTAAGCAACACAGGAATAAAAAGCTAGAGGAAATTTTAACACTCATATTGGAGGTATGGAATTAAAGATGTTAAGACAGCCAGTGCACGGAGATACTTTTGAGTTCATTTGCCATTTTGACAACTTTATTTCCTCACAAAGAGGGTTATAAACTACATGGATATGGCAAACCAGCTAAATGTTCAAAAAACTGGCTTTCCCTTCCTCCCAGAAAATAGCTGCACATATTTCCACACATCCCTTTCAGTGAGGTAACCATAGGACAGTTGGGTTCAAAGAATGTGGTCAGAAAGGATACACACCACTTGTAGGCCTGACCCAGAGAAACTGCCCATGAGCAAACATTTCCTTCCCCCCTCCCATGTGCCCCTTCAATAAAGAGGGCTCTACAGACTGAGAAAAAGCAAGCCACCAAGGAAGCTGCCCCCTGACCAGAAACATCCCATGGGACTTAACATGAGCAAGGAATAAATTTAAGACACTTAAGACCCAGCTAAAGTAGCTTTTCTAGAGTTTATTCCTTGCTCATGTTAAGTGTCCTCATGTCAAATACTCATGACCATGCCTGGTAAAGAAGAAAACTCAATGCATATTATCTGTCACTATTATTAGGAAACAAATGACTTCTTAATTTCCTTCTTTTTCTTGGGCAAGGTGCAGCACTGTGGTGGGGTTGGGAATTAGTGAGAAGCACTCAGGTGATTCTCTGTTATAAAATGCTAATTGGTACAGTGAAGTAACACGGCATTTTACCAATGTAACAATAAAAGACATTTTCTTCTGGATCCCAGGCATTAAATTTTATGACTGGTCTCTTGCTAAAACACCCAAATCTAATAAAGATGTGAAATATCTCTCATTGACACTGAACATCTAGAATGTTCTAAAATAGCTTTAACAATCCACATCAACTATGTGGTTTCAAATTGACACAAATTTTGCATAGAGCATATTTTGTGCTATTACAGTATTTAACTGATACAGTTTAATAATAGGATGATCAACTTTTATTGATTGATAAACAGCTAGTAGAATGCCTTTACAAAACATGTTTTTCCAATATATTTATGTTACAATACACACATTTCTTTATGAAAGTATTTGTTAAGCCTTTTTGCAGAGGCAATGGGGGAAAGTAGAGAAATAGGAGAATCAGATTTCAAAACAAATCTTCAGAAGAAGACCTAAATATTTGGCAATTACTTCCTTTTATAAACAATGATGGATTTGTAACTTTGAAACATATCAAAAGTGCAGTGCATAAATTTTATTTTAAAAAATCAGTAGTGCCAAATATATTACTTTGGCATCAAATTTCTCTAACTATATTCAGATTCCATTTTTTATACTTATTAAATAATGTTTTTAAATGAGAAGCATCAATTTCTCTAGCTAAATAATCCCATATCTGGATTAAATCATGGTAGAATTGATTTTTTTAAAAATTTCCATTTATTTATTCATCAGTATAATGGACTATTTGACAGTGTCCCAGAAAATGAGGCTCCTATGTATAGGAAGATAATCATTTTATTATATCTGCCATTAAATTATTGACATAGCTATCTAATATATCAAATTTTCTTTTTCACACTGACATTTCCACTTGAACAAAGTCCTATGAATATTCATTATCATACCAACACTGAAGACTTAACCATTCCTGGAACAAGGAACCATCTTTATATTAGTATTTTTTGGTTATGGTGCTTAGCCTTGTATTATTAAGCACAATGAATTTTTCTTAATGAATACAGGTGGATTAAGGCAAAAGGATATAGCCTATTCCCCTTAGTAGTATATTTTCTATCTTATTTAGAATTGTTCTTGAGGCTAATCAAACTACAGATCTGCTGGCTGCAAAGACAAAAATTGTCCCCTGGGCCAGCATCTTGTATTTTAAGCATGAGACTCTAATCTTGATGGTCACACCATCTTTCTTTGACCTACTTTTGTCACCATTCCTTAGCCGAACACACAATGCTGATTTTCAAATGATACCAATTACTTGCTGTGTATCTTGGCTGTGTGTAGATTATTTTTCCTTATTAAAAATATTTAAGAATAATTGGGCAATAATTACTTAGTCTTTGTAAATTCTCCATTGCATAATTTTTCATTTTTACAACCATTTTCTGTAGGGCTGTTGCATTTTTCTTCTGCCATCTTCTTCACATAACTAAGTGGTCCTTTCCCCTCAAAGGAGGAAGGGTTTTTGAATGAACCTCCAATTCTATCCCAAAGTGTGAAGTACTGTCCATAGTTATAGTCAAAGAACATGTGGTGGTCTGTATGATGTGCTGAGCCATTAATAAATGGCTTTAAAATCTGGGGGACACGAAAATCACCATCATGAATGGAAATGGTCCAGATATTAACCAAGATGTACAAACCTAAGTAAACCACTTTGTGTAACGGAAAGATAAAAGGGTATATATGGTAAGGTAGACTCTGAAGGAAGCCATCCACTGGGTGAAAAGCGTGACTTGCAAATGGAGTGGGGATCTTCCAAATGTGATGAGGTTTATGGATACGCTAAGGAAGAAAAGGTCACAATCAGCACCAAGAACTTCAACCCTGCCACAGTCAATTCAGCTTTTCACACTCACATTATAGAAATGATCTCACTAAAAAAATCCCTTTGAAATTAGCAAAATACTTTATAAAAATGCCTGCTTCTTTCTTTACCCCAAAACTAAAATTTTAAGACAGCCCTCATAAAGAAGGCCTTCTTAAAGTGAAACTCATAAAAAAATTAACAAAGTGTATAGGGTACTGGTTATGAGTATGGCTACTAAGAAATTAATACAGTGAGAGGAAATTCTTGGAAATAGAGAACAGAATTCATGATCATACATGCCAAAATGGGTAGTATTTTTTCTCTTTCCCCTTCCAATGACTCTACCTTGTATACAAGTCTATGATGAAGGCCTCTGTGAATCCAGTAGATCAGCATATCGGTGAAAAAGAGGAAGGAGATGACACTGACAATGAGGTGAAACCAACCTAGGAGAGATGGCAGGCACAGGAGAATCAAGATGCGGCTCCTAGGACTAGAGTTCACTTTGTACCTGCCCACGTGAGTGCAAAATGGGATCCTAGACTCAAACATTACAAACTCTTTCAGCTAACTTCATATGTTATCATCTCCCTTCACTCTCTGAAAGCTGGTCATTTCCTTATTTCCATCTCATAAGAGCTTGAAATGTCTTACCTTTAATTGATATCTTTTTTAAAATTCTTTTTTTAAACTGATATACAACATAAAAATTGAACATATTAATTTCTTAATTAAACTATAAAGATATGTATCATGAAACAGAAAAGACATTCCTAAAGGCTGGGCACACAGTGGCACCCATCTGTAATCCAAGTGGCTTGGGAGGCTGAGAATGGAGGATTATAAATTCAAGCAACTTAGCAAGATCCTGTCTCAAAATAAAAAATAAAAAGGGCTGGGGATGTGCCTCAGTGGTTAAGTGCCCCTGGGTTCAATCCCTAATACCCTCCACCCCACAAAAAAAGATATTCCTAAGACACTTTTATTTAAACCTGAAAATAATGCTACTAATGCTACTTACCCATTTTCCTTCAGGTTAACCTATATAAAATACATCCTTATATAGTACTTTCCTGCATAGAACTTTATTTTTACTAAATCCCTTAAATCTAGCATTTATTCCATAACCCAACCCTTTCTGATCTTTCCAACCTCGTCATTCCTCATTATTTGTGCATTTCTGCTCTAACCAGGCTGGTTTACTCCATTTCCTCCCAATGTCTTACCTCTATACCTTTATTCACACTGTCCACAAGTTTAAAATGCTCTCTATCCTTCTATTTTTGTTCACATTTGTTTTTGTTTTTCAAGGCCCAGCCAATTCATCAACTTAGGGCATCATTTTTGTTGCCTCCTCTATATAACTATAATCACTTACGTTGACAGTAAGGCTCTGGTGCCAGTAAGCTTGAGTTCAAGCCTCAGGTCCATCTCCTCTTTATGAGTAACCTAGGCAAGTTACTGAAACTGTGCGTATCTAAATCACTCACCTATAAAAGGAGCTTAATAATAGTACCTATCTCAGAACTGTTGTAGAAAAAAATGGATTGATGCACGTGAAGAGCTGAGAACTGTCACTGGCACATATAAATGCTCAATAAATACTGTTATTCTTACTTTCTATATACTAGGTAACAGAAATTTATCTTTTTCTTTTATAATCACAGTGCTAGGGATTGAATCTAGGGCCTTGTACATACTAGGTAAGCACTTTACCACTGAACTACATCTCTAGTCCCAGAAATGTATCTTTTTTAAAAAAAATTTATTTTTTAGTTGTAATTGGACCCAATACCTTTATTTTACTTATTTATTTTTATGTGCTGCTGAGGATCGAACCCAGGGCCTCGCCTGTGCTAGGCAAGCGCTCTACCACTGAGCCACAACCCCAGCCCCATCTAGTCCCAGAAATGTATCTTGATGAAATAATTTCAAAATTTTCACAAAAGTTTAATCACATGAGACTGCTTGTAACACAACAACAAAAAGTGACATTTAAAGGTCTAACAATTAGGGATCAACTAATAATGACGGACATCTATACAAGTAAATATTATGATATTTATATGCTTTGATATGAAAATATGGCTATATTTATTAAGAGGAAAAATATCAGGGTGCAAACCAGTATGTGTTTTTACATTGTAAATAATGAAGCATACATGGGATTGGGATTGTGGCTTAGTGGTAGAGCTCTCGCCTAGCAAGTGTGAGGCCCTGGGTTCGATCCTCAGCACTACATAAAAATAAATAAAGGTATTGTGTCCAACTACAACTAAAAAATAAAAATAATGCACACACAGAGCCAGGCACGGTGGCGTATGCCTATAATCCCAGTAGCTTGGCAGGCTGAGACAGAAGGATCACTAGGCTCAAAGTCAGCCTCAGCAATAGTGAGGTGCTAAACAACTCAGTGAGCCCATCTCTAAATAAAATACAAAATAGGGCTGGGGATGTGGCTCAGTGGTTGAGTGCCCCTGAGTTCAATCCCTGGTACAAAAAAAAAAAAAAAAGCATACAGAAAAGTGAAAGGAGATATATCAAAAGATTTTTAGTTTCTCAGTAGTAGCAGGATTCTTAAAAAAATTCTTAAAAATCTGTATTTTTTTATTTTCAGTAACTTCCATGTACTACTTGAGTTACTTTTTTAGAAGTTTAAATTCAATAATGATAAACAGAAAACAGAGCAAGGGACTATCTCTGATCACTCCAGTCTTCCCCCAGGCACAATTTCATCTACAACAGACTTTGGTTGATAGATAAAATGAAAGAAATGCACATAAGTGTCAGACATGAATGCATAAAAACAAAAGTCAAAATAGAACAATTTAAAAGGAGGAGAAAAAGAGACAGTAATGGTTTTTTAAAGAAACCAACTTGTGCTCCTAACCCTCATCTTATTTACTTACCACTTGGAAACTCTCCTATGTTGTCATATAATTTGCTGTAACCTCTCAACTCTAGCAGGAACAATGCAACAGTGGGGATACTTATCCAGGGTAATGACTGTACAGTGAACTTAATCTCTCGATACACTTGATTCTGAAAATGAAATTCCCAATACTTAAAAAGTCACAAAAATCTACATTCAACAAACTGACATAAAATTGTTTTGGATTGGATTTTTAAACACTATTTTATATTAAGCAGCTTACCTCTAAACTGTTTCTATAAAACTTTTAATACACAGTAATAGATGCGTAAGAAAAACATTCCTTTTATCCTAAGCAGATACAGTAAATATCTTAAATTCTGAAACCTTTTCTCCTTCCCACAAAATCTGACCTCCATCTCCAACCCTTCCTATATATTAAAAAAAAAATTAAGTGCTTGAAGTTACTAACAAATAACTGAAGTATAAAAATGATTATAAACAACTCTAAAACTATATTTTGACTCCCCTGACTAAAGAAAAACATGATAAAAACATATTTCAGTTTGTGAAAGCCCAATACTAAAATAATTACCTAAATGAAGACATTTTTTCATCAATATTAGCAAATCCTCATTTATGTATCAAGCAAGATAAGATACTAGGTTTATTGTTAAAAAATCAGATTCTCATGTTTGTTTAAATTAGGGAAGGAAGGGATTAACCCTCACAAAAAATATCTAACTTTTTTTGGAGGATGGTTTCAAAAAATTTATTTAAGGTTACATATACCCAGAAAAATCTTACTCATACACAATATTGTTATTTTTACTTTAACAGTAGCTAGAAAATAGGTAAGAAGGTCTCTTACCTTTAAAAACTGTGGATGCTTCATTAATGAATGATCATATACAAAATAATAGCTCAATGTGGCACAGAAGAAATAAAGGATATAAGCGCCAAGATTTGTCACAATCAGGAGACTAATAGTTTGTCGGAAGATGTCATCCTCTGGCCATCTGGCTGGATATACATATGGTGTAAAAAAATAATAATCTGCGGCACTGAGAACAAGGTCCATCTTAGCCCCTAAAGGAAAATGTGCAAAATTACTTGGCATGTCTACATTTCAAAAAAAAACTATACAGGAAGTTCCCAATTTAAGGAAAACCATACATAATACAAGCCGGCTACTGTCGGCCCCCCCTAAAATGTCATCTTTAGTGCTAGGAGGAAACTGAAATAGCAGCTCTAGTCCAACCTCTTTTCATATTCTACCCAGGGATACCAGCTAGAGAAACTGAGGCCCAGGAAGCTTTTTCTCTAAGGCGATCAAGCTGACAAATGGCAGCTCTAATTCTAGATCAGCTCTAATTTTACTTTGGGATTCTTTCCTACTACATACTACAGTAATGTAGCAAGTTAGAAAGATGGATACACAGTGTACTAGTACTCAAATGTGACTCCTTTAGCTACAATTTTCAGCTGCATCTCTCTGCTTCCAGGACTCAAATCTAAAGATTTTTATTTCAGTCCTGAGACCAAAAATAAATTCCCTAAAAGGTTTCTATATTGCCACCACAACCATATAATTCAAAGACCACCTGTTCTTGTGACACAAGGAAAGAAACTCCCAATTACAGAACAGAGGGAGAAGTATTTTTGCTGTTAAGAACTTGATTACCATTTATTTCTCTCTCTTGTCAATAGTCTAGGTTAGGAATTGGCAAACAGTGGCCCAGGGGCCAAATCTGGTTCTGTTTTTTATTTAAATAACAACAAAACAAAGTTTTACTGGAATACAGGTACACCTAGATATTTATATAACATCTATCATCCCTGACTACTTTTCTAGTATAAGGTGGGTTGAGTAATTGCAACAGAGACAAGACCAAAGATATTTACTCTATAGCCCTTTACAGAAAAAGCTTATCAACCCCTATTATGGATTTTTATACTTTAGCAAAATTTTAGTCAATTCAGCAAATACTTAAGTGTACTCTCTACTCATGGTCCTAATATAATACCATAAGCAACATTATGGTCAGCTCTTGTGATCTGACCATGGAACCTTTCACCTGGGACCCACTCACTCATTTTCGATTTTTTGATATTTTCACATGCAATTAAAATCTAATGTAACAAAACAACAAAAAGTACCAGCAATCGAAACAGTGCACTAAGACACAACAGGAACCTCAATCAGCTGGAGTCAGGAGTTATCATCAAATGAGTGCAGAACCTAAAACAAAAACAAAACAACCTTTTGTTTTTCAGAGCTTTTCAGACTTTGAAATTATGATTAAGCCTGTATTGAGTAAAGTTCTACAAGCAGAAGAACTAAGCTGAGAAACATGCATTTGTGATCCTGATACACTCTGCTTAAATTGCCTTCCATAGGGTTGTGCTATTCTGTAAATTCTTAAACAACAGAGAATGGTCCCTGCATCTCTTAAACTCACCATCAGAGGATATCCTCAAACTTTTGGATATTCATCAATTTAATAGGTAAGAATGACTACCTTAGTGAATATCTAATTTACCTTATTATGAGTGAGGCTAAGCTTCATTTAACATATTTAGAGTAATTTGGGTTTTTTTTTAACTATAATCTGTATCCTGTACTCATTTTCTCACTGGGATTTTTATTCTCTTTGTAAAAATAAAATTTTAAAATTTTATTAGGGAGTTTAGCCTTTTGCTTATGATATAAATTGCAAACATTTTTTCTTATTCTGTCAGGGAAAGAAATTTTTAATTAACAACAAATGCTAAACATTAACATATATCTATCACATATGCCACTGTTAATTCAAAAAAAGCAATTAAATGCCAAACACTATACCAGGTAATGAGCAGAGGATAATTAAAAAGGTATGGTCAAAATCATTCTTAAAAGTAAGGCCAGGCACAGTGGTACACTCCTGTAATCCCAGCAGCTTGGGAGGTTGAGGCAGGAGGATCACAAGTTAAAAGCCAGCCTCAGCAAAAGTAAGGTGTTAATCAACTCAGCGAAACCCTGTATCTAAATAAAATACAAAGTAGGGCTGGGGATGTGGTCAGTGGTCAAGTGCCCCTGTGTTCAACCCCCAGTACCCCCCAAAAAAGTAAGGCAAATGCAGAAACAAATTACACCAATAAGACAAGTTCTACAATAAAGTATATATCTATAAATGTGTATACATATAAATTATATGAAAGTAGAAAACACAACAATCTCCCTTGGCTTATATAATAAAAGGCTTCACAGTGAATGTGACATTAAATTTGGGCTTGAAAGATATCACCAGAAAGAATAGATTGGGGAAGCCATTCCAAATAAATTTAACAATTGAAATGGTAGTAAGGGGCATGGTACATTCATGGCTCATTGGATGTGGTGGGTAGGTGTCAAACAGTGTAATAAGGGTGAAGCAGAAGGAAAAAGACATTATGGGATAAACCTAATGTCTGGTTGGTGTTAAACTAAGAAGGGATCTGTTACCACGCTAAGAAATTTGAACTTTCTCTGACACATAATGCAGAGGCCATGGTACAGAATTCTGAGGTGTAATCAGACCCATATTTCATAACGATCATTCCATGAGGAAAATGAAATATTGATGAGAATCAGAGAAACTCATTTGGTTGTTCCTGTGCTAGACTATCTGATGACAGTATAGACTCAGATATGGTCATATTCAAAGATTTTAGCATGCAAAAAAATCCAGAGGCTGGGCATGGTGGCACACACTTGTAATTGCAGATACTCAGGAGTCGGAGGCAAGAGAACTGCAAGTTTGAGGCCAGCCCGGGCAACTTAGCAAGACTCTGTCTCAAAGCAAGATTTAAAAAGAAAAGTGCTGGTGATGTAGCTCAGTGGTAGAACATTGCATAGCAAGCATTAGGCCCTAGATTCAACCTCCAGTATGGGGGCAGGGATCCACAGGAGATGGATAACTCTGAGACACTGGTATGTGAAAGGGAAAAAATTCTAGGATAACTAAAAAATTTTGACTTGCCAGGGTGGATGGTGGTGTCATTATAACCCAAATAGTAAACACTGGAGAGCTAGTAGATTCAGGTAGGTAGGAATAGGGTTTGAGCAAGGAATGATGGGCTCAGTTTGGGTCTTAAATCTAATTGCCTGGGCTTCTAAATATGAGTAACAGGCCATGTTAAATATGAACTGAGGTTCAAAAGTGAGCTGAGTATTTGTTAAGCAGTTAAAGTCATATCCTTCTAAGGAGACAGTACAACAGAGGAAGTACACTAAATACTAATGATACCAGGGAACTTGAAAAGGATATTGGTACACCACTAAAGGATGGTAAGACTTGATGCACTCAACCACATATTATATACAGATGCTCCTCAGGGTGATATGCCAATAAATCTATAGTAAGTTGAAAATATTGTAAACTGAAAATTAATTTCACACACCTAACCTACTCAGATTAGTGACACAACATACTGAGAAGGATGGCTGCTTCTCCTCACAGTGGCATGACCAACTGAGATCTGCAGCTCACAGCCACTGCCAAGTATTTCAACAGTACATTCTGTGTATCATGAACCAGGGAAAAGATCAAAAATTGAAGTTCAAAGAAAATTTCTACTAAAGGTAAATCTTTCTCACACCATTCCAAAGCTGAAAAGTCCTAAGTCAATCCATCATTAAGTTGGGAACTGCCTGTAGTGCCAATATCACTAATTCAGTTCAGTACTTGAAACAGTTTGGTGCAATCAAAAAGAACTCAAACCCTATCTTCTTCATTCAATTTAAAAATAAGATATAAGGAAAGACCCTAATAAGATATCAATTCTTAAGTTTAAAAATCTTTCATTTTGGTTTTACCTGAAGAACATGCCAAAGGTTAATATGTAATTACCTATACATGATTATTCTGACAATAAACTAGTGCCTGGGAGGAGGAATTGTCCCTATCCACTTGGAGGCAGTTTGGATACTGTGAAGTTAAACCTAATTTAAGTGATTTTAGAATTTTGGTTTCAATCAATTCTGTTTGTTGACTGTGGTAAATAGGCAACTACAAATACTTTGCTGTAATTTCTGAAATTTAACACACAAAATCTTCTGATGGTGAGATGATCTCAAAACAGCAATTAAATTTTGAAGTCAAATTATATTCCAACACATATCTGTAAAATGAAGATAACATATCTATGTTATAGAATTGTTCTAAGGTTTAGTGATTATGTAGTCTTTTTTTTTTGGTGGTGGGGGGGGATACTGGGAATTGAACTCAGGGGCACTCAACCACTGAGCCACATCCCCAGCCCTATTTTGTATTTTATTTAGAGACAGGTCTCACTGAGTTGCTTATCACCTTGCTGTTGCTAAATGTGGCTTTGAACTATCAATCCTCCTGCCTCAGCTTCTGGAGCTGGTGGGATTACAGGTATGCACAACTGCGCCCGGCTATTACACAGTCTTTTTTTTTTTTTAAATATTTTATTTTTTAGTTGTAGTTGGACACAGTACCTTTATTTTATTTATTTTTATGTGGTGCTGAGAGGCAGGTAATTCTATAATCACTAGAAACTTAAAGAGATGTTACAGTAATATAAACATAGGTAACCTCCTAGGTGGTTTTGCCTAAAAACATGTGCTATGTGAGTGCTCTACCACTGAGCCACAACCACAGCCCTATTATGTAGTCTTCTAATACCACGTGACACTTGGTAAATACTAAACAAATAGGAGTCATGACTGTTATGATACAAAGCTGAGTAAAAATTAATTTAACATATGCAGAAAAAAGAGCCATTTGATTTTTCTTTGAAAAATAATAATAGCTAATGTTAACATTTACTATATACTAAGTAAGTACAATAAATGTTACAACCTTTTAAGAAACCCCAAGAGTTAGGTACTAGTATTATTCTTATTTTACAGATGAAGAATTTGGGCAGAAAAAATTCAAGTACCCTGCCCAAGATCACAGAATAAACAAATGCTGTAGCTAGGATTCAAACACAAGCAGTCTGATTACAAAGTCCAAAGTCCATGGGGGCTGGAGTTGTGGCTCAGGGGTAGAGCACTTGCCTAGCACCTGTGAGGGACTGGGTTCAATACTCAGCACCACATAAAAATAAATAATTAAATAAAGATATTGTGTCCATCTTTAACTAAAAAACAAAAGTCTTATTAATCTTTCTTCACCAGGATGCCAACTCTTTAATTCCTTATGTTTTTAAAATCCTCAGTAACTACAAGCTCATATAATTTTAAAGGGTTATACCCTCTGAAGTCAGGGGCTTCACTTAAGTACCACTCCTTGAAATACAAATTTTTACTAAATATTATTTTGCCTTTGCAGAAACAAACAAAACTCCTTTTCTTAAAACACAATTATCAATAAAACCCTATTAGGCCTAGAATAACTAAGTGTATTATTACCTTTTTGCTTAACTTTGTAAATATTGGTAATAATAGCAAACATGTATTGAGACCCAGATATTATTTTAAGTACTTTTTTTTTTTTTTTGGTATAACCTCATCTAATTTTCACAATTCTATGAGGCAGGTAATTCTATAATCTCCACTTTACAGACAGGAAATTGAGGTCAGGAATACTTAAATACCTTTTTTTCAGTAATAAGTAGCAGCTATGATGTACATTCCATAGCCTAGTCTCTTAAGATGTTATAGATGTAGATGGGGAGTTTGGGGTACTACTCCATGCTAATTATATAACTTAACAGAAAAATACTCTATAAATGATCTAGGGCCACGTATTTATTATTTATTAGGTTTTATCACTAGAAACTTAAAGAGAAGTTATAGTAATATAAATATAGGTAACCTCCTAGGTGGTTTCCCCTAAAAACACCAGACTGCTACAAACTTTCCAGTTTGGTAACTTTCTCTGCAGAGGCAATGTTTTCCTTACCCATACCACCTCCAAATTTACTCTGCAGTAAACAAAGGGATGCCAGTATACAAGACTTTTTTACCATGTTAAAGTAACAGATTATGGAGTTCCCTTTCCTGTTCCCTTTTAATCTTCTCCATTTGGGGATGTTGTCCCTGCAATCTATTCCCTTCCAGTAACTGATAGATAACGACCAGTTTTTCAGCCGAATTTTTTTGACCCTTAAAAAGAAATTCCTTCCAAGAACGAAGGGAAATTCATCGAATACTAAAGCCTTAAAGAGTTCAGTGGCCAGACTTCCCTGGACAAGAGATCCACAATAAGCAACATAAAACACTGCACATTCTTCAAAGGTCGACCTTTGTTTTCTTCACGTCAAACCTCCTCCTCTACCCTGACACCCTCTCCTGGTGTCAATCTGGCCGCCACCCTTCTGGACACAGGGCCCAGCTTGCTTCCACTGGGCCCCGCTCTCGCCCCAGCATCACCCTCACACCTTAATTAAGGATGCCCAGCTACCTGCCAGTCTGTGCTACGTCAGCTTCACCGCTGGGAACTCAGCAGCTGCCCAGTGCCTGCCATTTAGGAGGCACTCAACAGATGCCTGCTTCGGGTCAAAGAAAAAGAAAGGTAGAGGCACACGTTCACGCTCCCCAACCCGGTCCCGGCTCGCAGGTTCTCGGCACCGCTCTTCTTCCTCCCGCCCCCGGCCCGCTCAGGTGTGTGCCGCCTCCTTCCGCCGCGCACTAGTGACTACCTGGAGAGTCCACACTGCTCCAGCCGCCGCCGCTTCCAGGATGCTGCGGCGGGCCAGCGTTGGGCAAGCGTCGGTAAGCGGACTCTGACGGGAGGAGCGGAACCGAGCCTACGCGCCAGGCAGCAGAAGCGGCCAGCCAATCAGGGGCCGGCGCCATAAGCTGATATGACGGCGGATCGCGCGACTTGGCAGCACGCAGCTTTCAGCGGTCACGTGGGCGCCGCGCGCCCGGCCACGCCCCCTCTCCTTCGGGTTGGTCCGGAGGGCGGTAACCGGAGTCCGACCCGGGGGTCCGTCTGGGGGTCGGAGGGTGGAGTTTCAGGTTTTGCGTGTGTTTGCTTCCTTGCTCTCCAACTGGCGCTGAGTCGTGCCAAGCAGGTTATGAAAACATTCCGAAAAATGAGGTTCTGCTTTGAGGGGATATGGGTGACATTTCCTTTGAAGTGAACGTCAGAGGCATTTTCCCACGAGCCGGAACGAGGCTCAAACGTCATTCAGTTGGTAATATTTTTCACCCTGGAGCGTGCCCTTTTATACTGCGTGAAATGGCTTGGATTCTGGCCGAACCGGTATACAGAGATGTTTAGATGCTGACAAGATGAGGATTAAAATAGAAGCTTTTCCATAGGCACAGATTGTTCAAAATTACAACAACTGTAGATCGAATTGGCCTTTATTGACGATTCATTAATCCGGGCAGCAGAAGATTCTGTAAAATAGTAAGAACTCCCACCAGCTGTAGAGAAGAGATTGGCTGGATACGTAGAAGAGAGCAGAATTAAGGAACAAAAAGACTGGTTTCAAAATTGCTTTCCGAACAGGGTTAACACAGAGGACTTGTCCTGTGGTCTCAGGCAAATAGGGTCCCTTCTGATTGGTTGCTGATTTTGTTTTGTGGAGGCCTAGCCCATTTCAAAGGTCAGTTTTAATATGTGGCGCTTAGCACTAGTGACTCCATTGTGGTTTAGTCAGGTTTTCTGGAATCTGGTGCAGAATCTTAGTCCCCCAAAATAACCTTTCATAAATTTCATTGAACAAAGTAAACCAAATCTTTAAATCTATAAAACATATAGACTCCCAGAGGTGTGGTTTGATGTGTGAGGTATGTCGTTTTAATTTTTGTGGCTATTAGCTTTTCCAAACGTGAATTGCAATGATTATGTTTACACATTCATCTCCCTGGGAGTTGCAACTTTAGTAACTCTCAAAGAAGTCTTCCAACTAGGCATTTCAGCATCATCTGGAAATTTGTTGGAAATGTAAATTCTCTGGGGTCACTCCAGCTCTAGATCAGAAATTCTGAGAAGACTCCTGTAAAATGTGTTTTTCACAAACTCTGAGTTATTCTGATGTTTGACGAACGTTTGAAAGCCACTGTTTTAGCAAACTTGACCAATCAGAACTGACTAGTTAGTCAGTTTTGCTCCCTCCAAAGTGATAAATTGGAAATCCTGTATTGTAGGAGATAACCAAACGATACCAGTCTTGAAAACCAGGATGGGGTCCTCATTCTCTGGATGTTGAAGAGTAAACACTTGAGGCAAGAGTAGAAAGAATTTTATTTAAGGGATAGAACAGAGAGAGAGACTCCTTCAGAGAGGAGGAAACCCAGAGCTGGTACCCAGGGGAGTTGGGTTGTCTTGCTCCTTTATAGATTTTGGGTTTTCTTTCTTTTCATGCCTGCCTGACCAAAAGGCAGGAAAAGAACTATCCAAGATGTGATTGCTTGTGTTGGAAAGTTTGATCCTTCCTCTCCCCTAGAGGTGTTAGCACCCATTTGATGATGAAGTGCTGTCTACCAATTTCTAATCTTTAATAATCAGCTACCTGTCCTTTGCCCTATCTCATAAATATGAGGAAGATAATTTCCACTTGCCTCGTACTTTTAAATCACATTTTTTCTCCCTTATATCTCTTCTCATTTCATATCACAAATTTTGAAATTAAGATTTTTACATTTATTTCTAGGAAAAATATAAACATGGTTTAAAGAACATTTACCTAGTATAAGACTTCTACATTGGTGCCTGCTTTAGGATAAAGCCTGGTTAGGTGTGCCTTGAGTATCACAGATTATTAAGAAATATTTATTGTTGGTGGCACATGCTTGTAATTGCAGTTTAGGTTTGTCCATGAGGATTTTTTTCCCCTCTGTTAAATGTTATGGAAGGCATTGTTTTGAGTTTGAGCTCCTGCTACAAATCAAAATGGCATTCATGATACGTGCCGAATAGTCAAACAGAAACTTTAAAGAAGCAGGTAAAAACAAACCAGTTTTTCCAAAAAAGAGATTCACAGTAACCATCAGAAAGAACCCAGTCAACCTGTTAGTAAAATTAAGTAATAATTCCTTCTACTTTAATCCTTCTAAAAGAAAAACCTGATTTTCACCAATTTGCTTTCTTCTATTGATGTTTCCTTGTTCTCGCTCATAAAAATCAGCTGTTCTGTCATGCCCAGGGAACATTCCTTCTGCTTAGAGAATAAAATGCTGCCTGATTCTAGAAATACATATAAAAACCCATTTGATGTTTAAATATAACTTGTAAATTTGACTTCTGACATTCCCTGTACTTTAATTAATTTCACATTTGAAAATAATGTTTCTTTTGAACACATTGAGTCTAGATTCCTGCATGGAACTAATTGCCTGTAGCAATGTTGGCTGCTCCTTTCAGACAGAGCTTGGGCCCTCCAGTTTAGTGTAACCACCAGAGCCCTCACTGTCCTCCCATCTAAATTATGTTACTTTCCTTGGTACCCTAGGCATTTGTGTGTTTTCCAACCCAGCATCTTGATACTGGGTGGGGCGGGAGCACCTTACATATGAAATAAATAACAGATACAAAGAATAAATGATAGAAAAGGATTTTAAAGGCAAAAAAATGACCCAACTTGCTTTTGGAAAGATTTTTTTTTTCTGCTAGTCAAACATAGAACATTAGACTAAATAAAATTAAAATGTCATAGGTGATGTTTAAGTAACTAAGGTAATATACATAAAAATAATTTTTAAATTGCATTTCAGTCAATGCATTGTGCCAAACATTGGGAAAGAGAACTATTACCAAAATGACAAAGACACGCTCCCACCCTTAATGAGCCATGGTTTGTGGGAGAAATGGACATGTACCAATAGCTGTTGCTTATTACAAGGGCTGGAAATAATAACTGGTGGTATAAACTAAGAACACAGACAAGTGGCTATTAATTCTGATGGGAGAAATCAAGAAGGAACATAGTTTTGTTTTATAAAACTACTGGAATGAACACTTAAAATTTGCTTTGAGTATCAAAGATAATTAAGAAATATTTATTGTTGCTAATGGTGGCACAGTTATAATGCCTGTAATTGCAGCTACTTGGGAGGCTGAGACAGGACCCAGTTTGAGACCAGACTGAGCAATTTAGAGAGACCCTGTCTAAAATAAAATTTTTAAAAAGGCTGTGGATGTCCTTCAGTGATGAATGAAACCTCAAAAATGAGATGTTATAATCAAATTTCAAATATAAACACTTTGCAAAAGAAGAAATACAAATGGCCAACTAATATCTGAAAAAAAAACATGTTCAACACAATAATTAGAGACATGCAAATCAAAACTACACAGAGATTTCATATCACATCAGAAAGGCAGTAATTAAGAATACAAACAATAATAAAAGCTGGAAAAGGTGAAAAAATGAACACTTTTACACTATTGGGATTGTAAATTAGGACAACCACTGCGGAAATGACTATGGAGATTCCTCAAAGACTAGGCATGAAGCCCCAGCTATACCACTCCTTAGTGTTTATCCTAAAGAACTAAAGTCAGTACATTATAGTGATACCTGCATAGAGTTCAGAATTCACAATAGCCAAACTATGGAACCAGTCTAGGTGTCGGTGTCCATCAACAGATGAATGGATAAATAAAATGTGGTATATATACACAATGGCGTTTTTTAATATTTATTTTTTAAATTGTAGTTGGACATTATACCTTTATTTTATTTATTTATATGGTGCTGAGTATCAAACGCAGGGCCTCACACATACTAGGCATGTGCTCTACCACTGAGCCACAACCCCAGTCCCACAATGGTGTTTTATTCAGCCATAAAGCAAAGTGAAATTAATGTCATTTGCAGGAAAGTGGATGGAACATGAGAACATTATGTTAAGAAAAAAAATATCTAACTCAGAAGGTCAAAAGTCATGTGTTTCTCTCATAAGTGGAAGTTAGAGAGGAAAAAGGAAAAGAAAGGTAGGGTGAGGAGTTTCATGAAAATCAAACTAGAATAGAGGAAAAAGACCAGGAGGTGAGAGGAGGGGAGGGAGTGGGGAAGTGCTGGGGAGAGATATTGGCCAAGTTATATTGTTATGTTGTGTGCATGTGTGGATATGTAACAAGAAATCTCACCATTATGTACAACTATAAGGCACCCCCCCCAAAAAAAGTGGGGGGGGGACAAAGAAAACAAATTAAATATAATGTTCCTAATTGTTGCAAGTGGTCTTTTATTCTTGGGGACTTCAGGCTTCCCAAGTTTTCAAAATGTGCAATATTCTCCTGGCAACTAAAAATAGTAATAAATTAACCCCATGAAAACAAGTCTTTTTTTTTTTAATCAGTTTTGAATGTGTTAATGGTGCATCCTAGGATGCAGCATTCCTACATGCTTTTCCAGGTACAGTAGTCAAATAATTTATTTATTCATTATTTGCAAAGTTCTATACCAGGCAGTAAGTGTCAAGGAATTCAAGAATAAGCCACAATGCCTGCCTACCTTTCTGGCTCAAATCTATTGGTGAGGCTGGGGGTGTGGCTCAGTGGTAGAGCCCTTGCCTAGCATGTGTGAGGCCCTGGCTTCAATTCCTGCCACTGCATAAAAATAAATAAAATAAAGGTATTGTGTTCATCTACAACTAAAAAATATTTTTAAAAAAATTTTTAAAAATCTATACATGGGAAGAGGTCATTTAATTATTAATAAACAGTTAGAAAATGGAGGCTAAATTGCCAGGCATTGTACTTTGCACAGGAGATATTTTGGTAATCAAAAGTAAGTGCTTCCTGTCATGAAACTTGAGGAGGTAAAAAAGCAAATAATAAGTAAATAGACATATAATACAATGTCAGATAGTGATGAAGAAAATCAAAGAAGC